GCGCACATGCGCACACGCGCACACGCGCACACGCGCACACGCGCACACGCGCACACGCGCACACGCGCACACCCACACACCCACACACAAACACACACACACACACACACACACATAATTAACTGCATTATGTACATGTCATACGGCTGTGCAGCGAGCATGCTGCATCGTAGTTGGGCCTGGCAATACTAGAAGCCCAGCTACCTGTATAGCCTATAGGCTTTTCAGGAACACTATAAGCAACTACCGTATCTAGGTTCTTGCGTTTTTAGCCCGTTTTCAACATATGATGGCCTTAGAGGCCTTACACTAATTGTTTCAACACCTTCAAAGACAACGAACCTTGAACGGAGAAACTCCGAAGTCCCTCAATCAGAAATCCTCAAGCTTATTGGTCAAAGACCCAACTTTTCAACATTCAGGCTCTTGATTGGTAGTCTTATTCTGAAAGCTTGAACTTTAAGCACTGTGGTTTCTGGGAAGTACGCAAAAACCCAGAGCCCTACAGGCCCGAGACACTAACCCATGGACTCTGAAAGGTCTACAGCCCCAACCCCAAATACGCAGACCCTTTTGAAGACCCACATCTCCGAAGTCTGAAAGCCCCTAATCTCCATTTTCCGACCGCAGGCAGACAAGGAGCCTGCTTGTTGCCATTAACGCCCTCGATAAGCTCCTGTGAAACCTTTGACAACGAAAAAACTACGGGTCCGCCTGGGTTTTAGGTTTGCGTGCCCTCAACCCTAGTTAGACAATAAACTCTAAAGTCTACACCCTGAAGCCTAACCCCAAACCCTAACGCCCATAAGTTTTAGGTGTTAGTCTACTGGCCAGGTCCCTGGCCCCGACATCACCTCGAGAAGCAGATCCGGATTCACCTCCAGCCGCGGCGGGAGTGACGACTTTTGCTCCTTGGCGAGATGGCCTCATATAGAACTCAGACAATTAGGAAATTGTTTCCTTATGGTCCCCCATTCAAACTTTTCAAGGCCATCATATTACATCAGTATGATTTTGGGATTGGGGGCTTTTGAAATGTGTTTGTGGCCACATTAAGCACTTAACTTTAAACCCCTTAAACCCAGGATCTCTAAACCGTCGTTGTGTACGAAGACGCAAACTGTTGCCGTACACTACCCAGGCCTTCCAAATATGCCTTGATTCAGAAATCTGCTCGAAATTATAGTCGGATACCTACTGTACTATAATTTAGGATTCAGACTATGAGTTGATGTAGACTCCTTAATTGAGGAATATTGGAAGGCCTGGTTAGTGGGGGCAGCCCCCCGGCCTTTGCACTTCTTGTACTGTCGGGGCCTTAATATTAGAAAAGGATTTTGGGGGCTCCTTATTACACTTACAGTATAATGTATCCCCAAACCCTAGTCTAATCATCAAGGCGGCAACATTAGGATAATGCAATGGTCGACATGAGTGTTTATCGTATCCCGTTTTATGTAACAGCCGCATATTTGTAATCCAAAGCACACCAGTACCTGAAGTCGTGCCTTAAGTGTTGCTAAGATCCGTGCATCCCGGGGCTTTGAGCACAAAGATTCCCGATGTTTATACAAGTTTGCGACATGGGGCACGTCAACAAAACGGATTGAAGAAGAAGTTGCACAAACGACAGCCATGCGGTTGATGGAATAAATCCTGCATGACCTTAAGGGCCGTAACCTATGGAAATTATAATATATTCCTTATTATGGGTAATGCAGGATTTATATCATCCACCGTAGAACCATGGCCAGCAGGATGCATGCACTGCACACTCCTAAACCCTAAACTCAAAAAGGTGGCCATCTAGGAACTAGGCCCTGCGGCATTGGGAGAGGAGAAACTGGGAACCCTGAACCCCGAAACCTCGAGTGTCCGAGTGCGAGCGCCGAAACCCCTAACCCCTAAACCCTAAACCCTAAACCCTAAACCCAGGCGTCTCGGCCCGAGTCGTAGGTGTAGTTTCTCCTTTGGAGTCCACCTTCGGCTGGCCAGACCCCAGTGTGGCACGCAAGGAAAGTGCTCACGAGACCGACACTGCCGGCTGTACGCATCGCGAGGCTGGGCAGGTGTTTTCATTCCCCACTGGTGGCTGGATTTTCCCCACCTTGTGGCTGGATTCTTTTTAGTGGGTTTATGGGCCGTGGTTTTCTGACATTGTTTTGCTGGGCAACGCTTTGTCACCACGCCTCGTGGACCTGGAAAGGGGAAGCGCCGACCCCTAACGGAATCGGCCAGCCATCGACGGGAACGCAAGCGGCGAACCCGTGCGAGATCCACGTTGAGGGCCGCAGTGGGCGGCCACATAGACCCTTTCTCCTCGGAGGTGAACTGGGCGTCGCATATCCTGGCCAAGCACCACTCCGCGTCTCTGCTACCGCAGCAACTGGAACAGGTGAGGACCATGACCTGGATGTGCCCGCAATGCAAGCAGTGGGCGAAGCAGACCGCCAACTTCTGCCAGCACTGCGGGTTTGGTGGGGCCTCATATTCTCAGGCTACCACCTCGAGTACACCATGGGCAGCACCCGGGAAGGGACCCGACAAATGGCGAGGGCCTTCACAAGGCTGGGGCCATGCGGACCCCGGGTGGGGACAGCCAAAATCGCCTCGGCGAAAATCGCCACGAGGCCGCGCTCCGGATGGTGGCAAGCCCAAGGGCAAAGAAGGCAAGGGCAAGAAGGAGCGGCCATGGAAAGGCCAACAGGCCAAGGACCACGACCAAATGCCAGTGGTGCCACAGGCCAAGAGCTTACCGGCCCCACCCACGGTCACTATGGGAGCCGCGCCACGCCCTGTGGCACCAGTTACACCGGCGCCTTCGTTGGAGAAGCAGCAGCTGGACGCATTGGTGCAGGCTCTACAGGCCAACCGGGGCCAGCTGCCACCGGAGACTGCATCGTTACTCGACAAGTTGCAGGTGGAGAATACCCAGGCGTCCACTCGCAATCTGCACAGAGCCGTCAGCTTACAGGCGTCTGCCAAACGAGAGCTGGACAAAATCCGAGCCAATCGTACGCAGTACCTGGAGCAGTGGACCTCTTATGTGGACAGCGTCATCACGACGCTGACCCAACAGATGGAGGAGCAAGCGCAGGCGCTCTCAGATCTCGCGGGACGCGAGACGGAATGGGCCGAGACCTTCCAGAAGGCCCATGCAGACCTCAAGCGCCTCACAGCGGCTGGCGTCAAGCCCGCTATGGACGACGAAGATGCCGCAATGGAGGCCAGCGAGGAAATGGTCGATGCCCACATCCGAGAGACCGCCGAGATCCAAGCCGAACAAGCCAAACAGGAGACACAACGGCAGCAAGTACTCCTTCAGCTCCAAGCCATAAAACAACATGCGCAGGAGCAGGTGGACCTCTCCAAAAGGGACAGCTCACGGACACCGCGACGCAAGCCCGACAAGGTGGACCTTACGGAGGAGGGCGATTCTACCGATGGGCAAAGCAGATCCTCCGAAGCTGCGCCCCCTGGTGGGGCCCGTGGTTGAGCCTATGGGATATCACGGGCCCATTCAGCT